TCGATAATTTCATGGCCGCCGCGCGGACAAGGCCCGACGAAGATGCAAACGACGAAGCCAGCGAGAAGCAGTTGAGTGACAGCGAGCTCATTGTGAACGCGTCCAATTTCAAGGAAGTCATTAAGACGCGCATGGGCGCCGGCAGGCGCGCAGCGGACAAGTGGAACAGGGGTGCCTCTGAGTCGGGCGATGATGAAGAAGCGGACGACGCAGCTACGAATGCCACGAAGGAAGCATTCAAGCTTGCGCACGGCATGTGGGAAGTCACCGCAAGAAAACTGACCGACGACAGGGCGCCGTCGTATACCGTCGACCCAGAGGACCTCCAGAAGGCCTTGGCCGACGCCGCCGCTTCGCAGAAACAGGAGCAGGGATCCAGAACCGGGCGGAAAGATGCCGCTGAACCTGCCGTGAGACCAGTGAAGAAGTACAGCGCGAAGGATGCGCGTAATTGGTTGGAGATGCAGAGGAACAAAACAGACGAGAACGAGCCGCGCATGCGAACGGTGCAGCTCGAGATGCCGCGCATCATCTGCAACCGCCTGTGCGATGAAGTAGAAGACAATGGCGCTGGAGTAACTCTGAGGGAACCTCTCATGTGGATGCTGCACGGACTGCCCGGCACGGGTAAGTCGGAGATCCTGAAGTTGTGCAAGGAGTTGTTCCGAGATGTCTGCGGGTGGACAATGGGCGTGGAATTCCAGATGGTGGCGCTGCAGGCCGTCATGGCGCAGCTCTTGGAGGGAGACACGATCCACCACGCCTGCGGCATCAACCCCTTCCCGCGCAAGACCAGCACTGCTAGCGCCCAGAAAGCAGATCAACGCCAGACGGAGGTGGCAGAGCGCGTACAACAGTGGAGATGGCTATTCATTGACGAAATTAGCATGGTGAGCTGCAAACTACTGGCCGAAATCGATATGAAATTCCGAACGGTCATGAAACACGTAGAAACTCTGAAGAAGAACGGCCTCGGATAAGTGCGACCTTTCGGCGGCGTCAATGTCGCGTTTGTCGGTGACTTCTGGCAACTGGATCCTCCTGCGGGCGGATTTCTGGGAGACATACCGACTGAGTTCATGCGCAGAGCCAGGAAGTATGACCCAAAGCCGGACATCGCGCACGGGCAATCTATATTGTGGGACCTCGAGAAGCGCCACGTGAAGGGCATGACGGAACTCACAGAGTACGTGCGCACGGAGGACCCGTGGCTATTGCAGGTGCAAGAGGAGATGCGAGCGGGGAATCTATCCGAGGAGTCTGGGAAATTCCTCCACGGACGAGAAACAAGCGTCCCAGGGAGTTGGGTGAATGGACAGCGCAGTTGCGGCAACACGGCGTGCCAAAAAATGTGGGAAGACAACAAGATGGAGTGCGACGTCTGCCAGAGCGAACGGGCGAGTAAAAGACGAGTTCTGGCTGGTCCAGACGACGCGCGCCACTTAGACGCTCATTTCATCGACGTTCCCGCGATCTTCCCGAACAACGATATCAAATACGACGTGAACAAGTCTCGCGCGCAGCTCTTCGCCGTCGAGAAGGGCCTCGCCACTACGTGGTCCGTCGCCAGGGACAGGCCGCCCAACAAAGTCCTCGCGGACAAGATCGACATCGTAGAAGAAAAGAAGGTGCGGCTTACTCGGCACGACCGCGATTGCGCTGACCTATACGGACTTCTCCCATTGGTGGAAGGGTTGCCCGCTATGCTTACGGAACACTACGATCGCAACCCCAACAAGCAGCTGCTGAAAGGCAGGATCGGGTACATCAAGGGCTGGGTCACCGACGATCGTGAGGACTCGGAGTGCGATGGCGGCGACCGCTACCTCAAGTGCCCGCCAAAGGTCGTGTTCGTGCAGTTCTTCGATTGGAAAATGGAAGAAGGTCGCATGGTGGAGAGGCCGTGCGAGTGGCAATTGGCAGGCATGAGCGAGAAAGGCGTCTACCCCATAAAGTGCTTAACTCGCGCCTGGTTCCTGGACCAGAAACGCATGTCCCCCGTGCTCCGCGTGGGCAGATCACAGGTGCCGCTCGCGCCGGCGTTCTCGATTACGGCGCGCGGGAGCCAGGGGCAGACGCTGCGCGCCGCCACCATCGACTTGCAGATCGGGCGCGGAGTCAGCAGCATCGCCAGCTACGTGGCCATGACAAGGATCAAGACGAGGCGCGACCTGCTTATATTTCGCCCGTTCGATCGAGAGATCTTCACCAAAGGGCCGCCAGAAGGACCGAGTCTCCTACTCCGTAAACTTCGCGGAGAGAAGATCGACTGGAAGGCCATCGAAGACAAGCACGTGCCCATGGCGAAATGTTGCGGCCCATGCCTGAGCCTGCGCGAAAAGAAGGACTTCCGCGCAAGAGAATGGGGCAACAGGGAAGACCCGCGCTGCAAGGCCTGCGCTGCGCGGCTGCAGTCCGAAGGGAAGACGCACAGGTGCAATGCGCGCAAGACGTGGTACCCAAGAAATGAGTTCCCACGAACACAAGAGCACCTAGACAGGTTTGTTTGTTCGGCTTGCAAGAAGAATGCAAGGCTCCGGACGCGCGTCCAATGCGGCGGCGACAAATCAGAGGATCAATTCTCAAGCACGCGGTGGGGTCGAGTATTGAAAAACGGATATGCTTGGAATGCGCTGGCGATCGGAATTGCAGCTCATGTTATTTGCATGGAGGAGCGGAGAAGATTTCACCCGAAGAGTGGCGAAAAGCAGACGAATGTCGCAGGTGCAAAGACTGTGTGCCGATCCGGTGCGCAAGATGCAAAAAGGCGAAGACGAAGAGCCAATATCATAAGACGCAGTGGAAGCTTGAAGAAGGGACAGCATTGTGCGCCGACTGCGAAAGAAAACGCTGTGGCGGCTGCAACAAGCTGAGGCTCCGCGCTGATTTCGCCCCTGGCGCGTGGGACATGGTGGATGGTTTCAAAGAGCACGTCTGCAAGGTGTGCGCCCAGGGCAGAAAACAGAAAGGAATGTGGACGTGCGCGAACAAGCGCTGCAAGAAGCGGCTGCCCCGCGGCGAAGTTTTCGGTATTGCCAGATCGAGACGCGGCGACAATGCGCGTGGAAACTCTAGAGTCTGCGACGCCTGCATCCAGAGACACGAAAGAGAAGTAGACGCCATGACTAAGAGGAGCTTAGATCAAGTTGCAAAGAAGCCGCGCACTGAGTGAACACACGTAGTGCTTATCGTTGTGTTAGAGCTTAGCGTGCGGTGTTTTCGATCGGCACGGCATCGGTTCGCATTGCGAACCAGAGTGCATGCGCTACTTGCGCGGTGGGGGCGCACCCCCTCTCCTTTGAATTCGTACCCAGCCAGCATGGCATCGCATGCTCGACCCGCTAATGATTCTTCCCAGCGCTGCCAGTGGAGCGATTTGCGTTTCATATCACGCGGTGCAAGTGTTGCCGACAGTGTCCCTCTCGACTTCACCAGGAGGGCGGGTCCAGATCGACGATTGCGTTGCGCCTGCTTGACTCGGTCGCGCGCGTCTGCAGAAGATACGAAGTGGTGTAGATGCGAGCAGTCCACAAGTTCGCGCCCGATTTAGGAGTGGTCAACCGACGCAGCAAGTTTAGAAGTGTGCAACAGCTCCACCACGTAGTTGCGATGCTGGTGATGGCCTAATTCATGCGCAGCGCGAGGTACAGTCTCGCGCGTAGTATGAAACGCACGCTAGTTTCACACCGCTCTTCCGCGTTCTGACTGTACCATGCTTGCACGTAGAGAACTTCGGCTCGAGAAGCTGTCGCCTCTTGGGCGTAGGAGTAAACGCAACGTCATCATCCTCGCATGTTTCAGAGCATGAGTTATATTCCTTGCCAGGCCCCAGTATCATGCAGAGAGACCCCCCCTCCTCCCAGTCACATCCCATTTGAACGACGCTTGCAATGACGATGGATCTCTCCGGGAGCGCTCTTGAACCGTCTTGGGGTCCACTTGGGGTCATGTTGAAGATCGTCACAGATATCCGAAGCTGTCTACGAAACCTCAGAGGCAGTCTTACCACTTCTCCGCGTTCTGAAAGGACCATGCTTGCGCGTAGAGAACTTCGGCTCGAGAAACGGTCGCCTCTTGGGCATAGAAGGAGTAAGCGCAGCGTCATCATCCTCGCATGCATCAGAGCACGAGTCATTTTCTTTGCTAGACCCCAGTATCACGCAGAGACCCCCCCCCCTCCCCCCGCTACATCCCATTCGAACGACGCTGATGACGCAACGACGATGGATCCGAGGACCCTCTCCGCGAGCTCTCCTGCACGGTTTTGGGGTCCATTGAAGCTCGCGTTGAAGATCATCACAGATTTCCGAACCCCTGACCCCGCGGATCTGCGTGAGGGGTGGCACCGAATTCCAGAAATGTGGCAAATCCCTGATGTTTTTAGACCCTGACCCCGCGGATCTGCGTGAGGGATGGCACAGAATTTCAGAAATGTTGCAAATCCCATGTATTTTTGGACCCTGACCCCGCGGATCTGTGTGAGGGGTGGCACCGAATTTCAGAAATGTTTTAAATCCCCCGTGTTTTTGGACCCTGACCCAGCGGATCTGTGTGAGGGGTGGCACCGAATTTCAGAAATGTGGCAAATCCCTTGTGTTTTTGGACCCTGACCCCGCGGATCTGCGTGAGGGGTGGCACCGAATTTCAGAAATGTGGCAAATCCCTTTTGTTTTTTTGGCCCTGACCCCGCGGATCTGCGTGAGGGGTGGCACCGAATTTCAGAAATGTGGCAAATCCCCTGTGTTTTTGGACCCTGACCCCGATCTGTGTGAGGGGTGTCGATTTCGAGCCCCCCCCAGCAATTCAGACAACGCGCCCAGGAGGTGCTAAAATGCCGGTTTGGGCCTCCCCCCCCCTCGCGCGGTCAATCACCTAGTAACAGTAACCAGCAAGAAGCAGAACTGTAACACTGGAAACTACAACCTACGACTGGCACAGGAAACTGCGAATCACGGGCCTACAGCCTGGTGGCCCCACAAGGGGGCCGGCGGATACTGGAGATTACATGTCTTTCACTTGCGTGTACGTGGGAAGTAAGTCAAATATTTACTTTGGGGATTCCACCTCCGAGACAGCCGTGGCTTCCCAGAACTACCAGTACATCTGCATCGGTGTCCTGACGTCGAGCGTCAGCAGCAGCACCACGCGCAGCAGCAGCGCAACCAGCAGCACCACTGGCACGATTGCGTCGGCGACGTCGTCAGCCACGACCACCTCGTACAAGGACTACACGCTGCTTCCCCCTGGCCAGACCTGCTACGAGGCCGGCATGCAGGACGTAACAGGACATGCGGAGTGTTTTGGACCTGCCATGGCGCTGCTCAACCTCAGCTCTACTACGACTGAGGATTATACTGGAGAGCTCATGTCGTTCACTTGCGTGTACGTGGGAAGTAAGTCAATTATTCGCTTTGGGGATTCCACCTCCGAGAAAGCCGTGGCCTCCCTGAACTACCAGTACGTTTGCATTGTTGTCTTGACGTCGACCGCAAGCAGCACGGTCTCGGAGATAAGCACGAGCGCCACGTCCTCGCTGACGTCGTTGACAGCCACGACCGAGTCGTACAATGACTACACGCTTCTGCCCGCTTGGACCGTGAGCAGCACTGTGACCACCACAACGAAAACGGCGGCACCATCTCAACTAAGCGGGTCGATTGAGCTCATCGTCGTGGGTACAGACGAGATCCGTAACAGCACGGAGGCAGAGGCGGTGCTAGATTCTTGCGGCCGCACTCTCGCTCAACTCGTCGGCGTGCCAGCGAGCTACGTCAGCGTGGCGTTCGCGGAGTCCCGGAGGCTCAGGGCTGCACCGCGCCAGCTCTCCCAGAGCGTCGTCGAGCTGGCATACATTATCCGCGTTCCCGCGGGTAGTGACGCTGCTGTGGTGAAGTCGACTCTCGAAAGCATCAGCGTGGACGACTTCGAGGCCATTCTGCAGGATTCCATCGACTCGACCGTCGGGGAGGGCGAGCTCTCCGTCTCCGTGCTCCTGATCACGGGTCCCGGCAGCCTCGTGGACACGGCGGCCGACGCCCCCGCGGCGGGGCCGCACGAGGCCCAGGGCTCGTCCGTGATGGTAGTCATCTTCCTGACGGTGGGCTGCTGCGTCGGGTGTGCGCTCCCGGCCCTGGCGCTGGTCTGCTGGCGCTTCCGCCTGCGCGAGGGGCGCGCGCGGGCCGCCCAGGGCCCGACGGGCCCGAGAGGCGCGCCGACCAGCCCACCCGCCGCGCCGTCCCCGAGCGATCCCGTCCCGAAGAGGCTCGTGCCGCCCGCGCGGGTCGAGATGCCAGCCGGTCCCCCTTCCCAAGACCCGAAGAGGCTCGTGCCGCCCGCGCGGGTCGAGATGCCATCCGCTCCCCCTTCCGAAGACCCGGTGTTCCGTTCTCCGCGTGCTGCAAACAGAATGTGTAGTCTGTAGGCAGAAAAAGTTTCGGAGGGCGTCAGTTGATGGCGGAGGTCAAAGGCATCTCTGCTTCACGACTGTTAGTTAGGTCTCTGCAATCGTTTTGGGGGTATTGTTGCGGGCCTGTCTCATCCCCGAGTGAGCAGCAGCCGCAGGAACGCGTGGGCAGATCGATGGGGCCCGCCTCGTTCCTCCGCCTCCACCGCCATGTTCGGATGCAACTCCTGCACGGTTCATAGCGTGAGTTTGCCCATTGCCGGTTTGGATTCGGTCGTGTTGCCCGTGGTGTTTTGCGTTGAGAGAAAGTAGCATCCAGTTTTCCACCGATTGCGCTGCGAAGTTCGCTGAGTTTAGCGTAAAGAAACTATCGGCGAAGCCGACAGGTGAGACTTCCAGCAAGCAGTTCGTGTATGTGCACCAAAAAGCTGGGTATTATCAGGGCTCCTCAAGTTTTTTATCACCCGTTCGGTGTTACCAGGTGTGGTGCGACGTGCGTAGCCCAATCTTGTGTTGCCTTCCCGAGTGTTGAATATCTCGCACGGTGGCAGTTTGTAAAATGCATTCACTTTAACCGCCGCCTCACAAGCAGAAGGGGTTGGGCACGTCCCGGGTAGTTCTTAACATCGGGTTTGCGCGATTTGGCTCTTCATCTGTTGCCCTATCCTCCTGCGTTGGGTTCTCGTTTTGAATAGAGCACTGCTCGCGCATCTCCCTCCTCTTCCCTCCTCCTCTCCCTCCTTCATCGCCTCGTATCTCCTTCTCCTCCGCCTGTTTCCTCATGCATCCTGTGCCCCCTCTGTCGAGGGCGGCGAACTGCGCAAATGTCAACACTTTCGTGGGCTCCCCGGAGGTCCAGCGGAGTCGGGAGGCCACGCGCATCCAGACAGGACCTCGTTGCCCCTGGGTGGCTGCGAACTCCGCAAGTGTCGCAACTTCCGTGGGCTCCTGGAAGGTCCATCGGAGTCGGAGGCCATGCGCATCCATTTGAGACCTCGCTGCTCCCTGGGCGGCTGCGAACTGCGCAATTTTGACCACTTTCGTGGGCTCCTGGGAGGTCAGCGGAGTCGGGGGCGACGTGCATCTGGAAGACCTCGCTGCTCCCTGGGTGACCACGAACTTCGCAACTGTCGCCACTTTCGTGGGCTCCTGGGAGGTCCAGCGGAGCCGGGGGCCACGCGCATCTACGCATCCATTCGAGACCTCGCTGTTCCTTATGTGGCTGCGAACTGCACAACTGTCACCACTTTCGCGGGTTCCTGGGAGGTCCAGCGGGGTCGGAGGCTGCGACATGCGGAACCGTCGCCTTTTGTTCTTGGGCTCCTGGGAGGCATGGCGGAGTGCAACGCAACGTGGGGCATGTGAGATTTTGCTTCTTCCTGGGTGGCTGCGAACTGCGCGACTGTCACCACTTTCGTGGGCTCCTAAGAGGCACGGCGTAGTGCAGGGCGCCCACCTGGCGCTTGCCCGCATTTCGCGCTGCGCCCTCGCATTATTTAGCGCGCGGCGCTGTTGCATCGCAGGGCACAGAACGCCGGAACGTCACGTCGCGCACGGCGCTGTCCTCAATGGCCCACTCCTGCGCAAGTGTGCGACGCGCGTGGCCCGACATTGTTCGGCCAAGAATTTCAGAGCGCTGCCCGCCGCATCAACGCCTGCGGTGACACGCTCTCGGAAGCCTTCCACGCATCCAACAGAGCCGGTGACCAGTAAGCACCGCAACATCCGCGGTAAGATTGCCTTGGAAAGCAGAAGCACTCGACGATCGACCTGCACTTCCTGCTCCCCAAGTGCATGGAAGGTCCGGTTGCTTGAGCAATTGCCTTGAAATAGCATGGCGAGCCCTCGACCAAATTAAAACAACTGAGTGAACCAACCCAATAAGTCTGCTTCCTCCGTCAGGCTTTGGTAAACGCACCACGAGATTGAGACACCCTAGCAGCTCACATGTGGAATATAGCACGCTGAGCACCTCCAACCCAGCATCGCTCACCTGCCAGAACGCCTCAGGCGCGATCCCAGTCTGCCGTTTCGCCGCGCGCGAAGGAATTTTAAGCGACACCTGCCTCAGGAAACCGATTGACACGTTTGGTCACTGATCCCATTCCAGAAGGTCATCTGGCCGCTTGAGCTTCGAGTAGCCGCGATGTTCCCAAACGCTTCTCCACTTCGCGAACGCACGACCATCTTGCGCGGCTTCGCTTGGGACATAGTCTTAACGACCTCCGCCTTGACAGGTGTCTTCGCGCGCTCAGGGGCAACGCCAGCTCCACGAAGAAAATTTGTGTCTGCCCACTGTCTCCATCTGTTCATCCTGCCGCGCGCGACCCAGTCATCCTCCTTCTTGCCGTGCTTGATGGTACTACCAGTGACACTTTGAAAATCAGCACGCGAGAAAATCAACAGTTCATCCTTGAAGAAATTCACCGTGCCCTGGTCAAAATGTTTTAGAACCTCCTGACTGTCCACCACCTTTTTGTGAAAGAGCGCCACCTCCTTGATCCGCTCAATAAGATGCCCACGTTGCCCCGTTGAAGTCGGGCAATTCTTCGCCGCCGAGTGGAGAAACCCGCAGTGCATTCCAAGACTTAGCTGCACCGCCTGTAAGTGCTCGCACCAGCGACCTGCCACCTTCCATGCAAGTCCCATTGCGCGGTGGCCTCCACTCAAGCTTCTCCCACTGAAAGCACACGGGTCCAGCCCGTCCGAGATGCGATTGACGATCCTTACCATTGATATCCCAACGGTCTGCCGAATCGAGTTCAAGCTCCGTGGGCGCTGCATCCCACGCCGCTGTGAAAGAACGCTGATCCTTGGCCATTTGCATAATCGCGGCTGCTTTTGCCCAGGATCTCGATCGATGGGAAACGCGCGCATCCCACCGGCGCCTTAGCACCAAAACCAAGCGCTTCAACCAGTTGTCGCGTCCAGGCGGCCCGTCAGCGTCCAGCACTCTTGACATTGCGGGATTATGCGTTGTGGTAGTGGAACCCACAATAGATTCGCCTCGCGCCAGACGCGTGCAAATAGCATCACAAACTATGGCATAATCAATGCGCCTCCCGAGATCACTCTTTCTCACAAGTGGATCCTTCCGTGTAGTTCAGATGCACTTTGACCGACTCCGGTCACTCCTGCTGCCATTCATTAGGTTCGATGTTCCAATCGCCCAGGACAGCCCAATCCATCCCATGGATGTTGAGCATGGCGCAGTAGCTGCGGATCGCGCCTAAAATATCCAGATTGCGATCAGACCAACCTTCGTCGGTGTGCAGGTACACGCTGGCCATCACGGTGCCCTTGGGGACGCACCAATCGACATGCCCAGCTACCACTTGCGCGCCGTCGAACTTCGCCTGCGAGTGGAGAGAAAAAAAAAGCCTCTGTGACCACGATGTTGGAACGAGCCAGCAACGCGACACCGCCATGCGAACCTCCTCTGTCGGGAGCTTCAGAAGCTCCCCAAACGACGCGATACCCACCATCTGCCACATGCTTCTGCTCAGTAGCCACCTTTTCATCCAAACAATGGTGTTCCTGCGCCGCCAGCACGTAGCAATCAGGCTTAAGCGCCAAGAACTCGACCAACGACGTAGCTCCCGGGCAGTTGACCGCGCCCATAATCCTTTTAAGTTTAGCTTCCACACTCGCCTGCTCGGGGGCTGCTTGAGTTCTCTGCTTCCCAGCCGAAAGCCAACTTGTCGCATCTTGCCTACAGCCGTGACCTGCTTTATGCATGCCTTTGTCGCCGAGAACCCGAACTCCTGGCGTGGCCAACAGCTCTGGACAGGCCACGCCGCGACCGCCGACGACGGCAAGCAACGGGCATATGATCAGGAAGCGCGTCCGCCATCATGTCCACAATGCTGTTCAGATAACGCTAATGTTGAGCTGCCATAAACCCCCATTTATCCTCGTCGCAATGCCTAAGAAAACCAGAGAAGTTCTTTCGATAATCACGCGCCTCGCGCCACGCATCAGCACACATCTCCGCAACCAGCGCGGGCCCGAAGGGCAAGTTGCAGATAGCCCCCACCCTCCTGATAAGTCCTTCGCGTCCTGGGCGCGCGAGGTAGACGCGCAGATAAGCTTAGCACCGTGCGCGCCATCCTTCGGGATCTTGGAACTGCTCGCCTCGAAGGTGCCAGATCCAATGCCCAGCGCAATCCCTGATGTCGTCGCCGAACTGCACTTCGACAGGGAACCGGAATGGTAAATTGCACATTGCCTTCTTTGGCAGTTCCGTCTGAAGCCTCGATCGCTCTGGGCGCCAGCATGGCGAGATCCAGGATTCCTTCGCATCCCTGTGCCCAGCAGGCCCCCAACAGACACGCGTGGTCGACCCTCCTGTTGCCCGTGGGCTGAGTTGGAGGCCCCGGCCCCTGGCCAGGTGCTTGGCCATCAAAACGCCCCTGCCGTCCAACTCCCGGGACCGGCGCCAGGGCGCGGCGACGAGTCCGCTAGGCGAAGCCTCCTTCGATGCGAGATGCAGCCCAATCGCGCCCCGAGTGGACGCCGCAATACCTCCCAAGAAAGAAGGATCATCGGCCTGCCCTTGTCCTTCACATTGCAGGTGCCCACCGCGTTCTGGCAATAGCTGTTTCATTGCCATTGCTCCTAATGGAAGAAATAGCAAAACCAGCGAGCCCATTAACACAAGCAAGCCCAAGTACCTAGAACGATTTGAACGCCTCCTTCGGTTGCCCCTGCCTCCACGCGAACAGCTTGTTTGCCATATTGTGTATCTCTTTTTCGTTCATATCGCCAGTCTCAAAGCCGATGCGACCAAGTTGCCCCCTAAGAACAGCAACATCAGCAACTTGCACAGAGACCGTCGCTGGCGGCGTAGAAGGGGGCGCCGCACCGCCTTCCCCGGCACCCGCCCCAGCTGCATCAGGTGACAACCGTTGCTCCGAAATTACCGCCGCTGCCGCTGGAACCAGGGCTTCGGTGGGCTGCTCGTCCTGTTTGATCTTGCCCACCACGTCCTCGTCAACCCCGCGGCTCTCGAGGAATTA